TTATTATTAGATATGAATAGGATCCCTATAAAGTATATTCATTACTCGTTATTCTCTACTAATAGTTAATTAAAGAGTGTAGATAATGACTATTTTTCACATCCCTTTCAAGATTTTCTAAGGTTTATTGACATATCATATAGGCCCACACAACTATGGTGTAGTTATGCATTGAATAAAAAACTTGGGTCGCAGGTTCCTCAATAGTGCATTACAAGACATCTATCAATATTTGTGCATACCTCCAGCAATGTTAACTATGTTGAAGCACTTATTTTAACTGATATTATACATAATGTATTATACTCTTATAAGATGTATGTATATATTTAATCTCCGGCCTTGTCAGGTATTGAACAATCAATAAATAAAGAACACAGAATTGTTAAATATAAAACACAGAATTTGTGTGATTATACTAAATGATTTACAAATAAACACCACTGCATACAACTGTTACACATGCTGATGTAACGCAAATGTTCCAACTTGGGATCAATAAAGTATATCTTTCTTAAGCTGATCGATGGCTACTGCCATATTTGCAAAATTTTCCTCTGAACCTTGACAAGTGCATGTTTCAGGCTTATCAATGAATGCAATGTAATGTTATCAATTAACAATAGGGGTCACAAACATAAGACCAGCTGTTAAATAAAGCTCTTCTGACCTTAGCTGGCAATGCTGCCCATTATGGGCACAAGCCATTTTCACCCATTTATTAATTATATGTTTTAAATTTGAGTGTTTCCTACCCCCTAAACCTCCAGGGATGTACACAGTTTAATACTGGTAACTTCTTATTATGGGAAATACGAAAACGTCTTTTAAAACTACAACTCCCAGTAGAGACGTGCCATAAAGAACATGTTGCGAAACAGAATAGCCAGCATGTGTAGTTCTGGGGACGGGGTGGGGGAGGACCCGTCAAATCCAGTTTTGGACAGTCTGCCGTGGTGCCATCCCATTTCAAGTGCTGTTCGAGGCTCGGTAACCCTTTGTCAAACAGAGCACATGGTGTAGTCCTAAACGATAGCTGGGGATTCTGGGTAGTGTAGTGTCTTCTGCTATCCTTTACTCCGAAAAAATATTTGTTTCTCCGAATCGAAGGGGAAAAATACAAAAGCATTGCACACAATTTAAACCAATCAATGTTGTGTAATTAACAAGGATAATCTGGTGTTTTTTAGTCGATGAGTAGTGCAGATATCACTGTAAAATCAATCGACAGTAAGGGGAATACTTACTTCCGGGTGTACAATTCTCCGTTATCCAATGAGAATGGACGCTCACATTGCCTTTAAGGGCAGCCGACACAAACGAATGCCGTGCTTCCATGAGCGTCATTACCAGTAGAAATACATTGCTTTTAAAATCGTGCTGTGCAACACGAAAAAAAAGGGTAAATTCGTGTTGGTGAACACGAATCAATAGATTAAAAATCGTGTTGGTGAACACGAAATGCCATGAGACTGGGTTGGTATTGCAGGACATGTGTAAGCGTATTTGAGTTGTAGAAAAGCGCTAGGCCTATAGGCTATACATCTAATGTGTCATTATTATTATTATTATTATTAGGTTATGTCCTATGTGTTGGACATGTGTGGTTGGACTTTGTCTCACAGGCAGGTTGCAGTGTAACATCAGAGGAGACTGGGCCAATTGTACATTCTCAAACTGCACCACTTAGAACTAACTAAACAATGCAGAGATTATTTTTATATAATTGTATTCAATAACCGTAAGAAATTCAACAGTATGAAGTGATTTGTAAATAGGAATACAGATTTGACTTAATCTTTTCATAAATATATTTTTCTCCCAGTTTGACTTATTTTTACCCTCTCAAAGAACCGGAATTGAGAACCGAAAATAACCGGAATCGAAAAGCAGAACCAGAATCGTTCAAATCCAAACGATACCCAACCCTATGTGTGATGCAGTAAAATCTTACCGCTCACTTACGTTAGCGGTGTAGTAAAAACCGTGGCAAAATGTAAAATACGATGACGAAGAAGAAGATTCCAGTGGCCCCAATTTTTGTCCATTCTGGACAAGTGAAAAATGTATTCGGACAAGTAAATTGCCAAACTCACTTGTCCATGGACAAGTACTCTCTAAAAACTTTTTCTCACACTGGCTCATCGACAAAGAACTTCTCAAAGGATATATAATCGGTCCTTTTAGCTCCTCCCCCTTCTCAGTGTTCCGTTCAAATCCCATCGGAATAGCCACACGTAAATAAAAGGCTGATTTTCGATCTGTCCGCTCCCTGCTCCGGCCCATTCTGCAGCGCCAATAGCATCATCCCTCCAGATCAGTTCTCCCTTCACCATGCCTCAGTGGATAATGCAATAAAGATGATCAAGTTCACAGGGCACGGAGCTCGGCTCTCCAAAGCGGACATTACCGATGCCTTCAAATCATCCCCATTCATCCGTCGCAGTGGAACTTGTTCGGTATTAAGTGGGAGTCCAAACTCTATCTTCGCGTTCGCACGACCTTCGGGTGCAGAAGCAGCCCCTGCATCTTCAATTCCTTCTCGGAAGCGCTCTATTGGATCCTGCTGAACATCGTCAGAATCCCCTCCGTCCTTCACCTACCGGACGACTTCCTCCCCATAAACCCGCCACAGGACAGCTCAGGGATCTCACTGGCCAAGCTTAAACACAGCTTCAGGAGTGAGGTGTCCCTCTCTCCAAAGAGAAAACGTTAGGTCCCGTCACACGCTTAGAGTTCTTAGGCATCATCCTCGACTCCATAGACATGAAGGCGTCTCTCCCCTCCGACAAATCGCAGCGCATCCAGGACATCACCAAGTCATACTGCGAGCAACAAGTTATCACAAAACAACAGTTGCTCTCCCTTCTCGGACACCTCAACTTCGCCATGCACGTCATCCCCCAGGGGCGCTCGTTCATCTCCCGCCTCCTGGACGCAGCATCAGCGGTCGACAACCTCCATGACTGCGTTTTCTTAGACGAAGGCTGCCGTTCAGACCTTCGGTTCTGGTCCCTCCTGCTCGCCCACTGGAACGGAATTACTTTATTTTACGATGGCCTCGTGCGTTCCTCTGACTCAATGAGGTCTTCACGGATGCCGCCCATCCATGGGTTTTGGGGGGTTTCTTCCAGGGAGAGTGGTTCGCAGGGTCATGGCCCCGTCAATTTCTACCCAAGCAAGTTCTCACTAAATCCAGCCTATCACCCATATCATACCCGGGCATTCCTTCAGGATAGGTGCAGCCACCTCTGCTGCTAATAAAGGTCTCTCTACCTCATCCCTACAACAACTAGGACGGTGGTCCTCCTCCGCCTTCACAACCTTCATTCGTCCGGACATCAGCGCCGTACGGGCTTCCCAAAGATCTCTCAGACCCTAACTATGGTAGTTATACATATAACTGGTGGTGGCTCAAACACATTCACAAGTATACATGTCTCACTAAGGTTCCCGATATTCAAAACTGCATTCCTGTCCTAATTCCGCGGGCCCCGCCCACAGGGAATAATGTCTCGTCTCACGCCGCAACTACAGGTAACGGGCTTCATCTCCGGCACACAGGTATTTCATTCCCAGGCCTTGCTCAAACTCATCAGTGTAAAATGTATTTCCTGCAGTCCGCGTGGACTCGGGCCACCGTACACTCCGGTGTCAGTTACAAAACAAAGGAAATAAAGAAAGAGTAAAGAGATATATATATATATATATATATATATATATATATATATATATATATATATATATATATATATATATATATATATATATATATATATATATATATATATATATATATATATATATATATAGCCTGCGAAGTCAGGCGTGGCGGAAAGCCACCGTACACTTCGGTGTCGTAGCGGAAGGCTACCGTACACTTCGGTGTCGTGGACGTTGGGCCACCGTTACAAAACGAAACCGCTCGCTCCTCGGCGTAGTCAAGCCCTGCTGTCCAGGCATGCGACCCGCAGGTCGTTTTCAGATAAGACCGGCACTGATTTCGGCAGTCAGAGTCTCAGCATGACCAGTAAGCTCCGGCAGTGATTCCGGCACAGTGTCGCTCATATACGTGTTAATCTATTATCTCTCCTCCCCAGATCACCAGTCACCCCACAAGGTAAGCAACTCAGTTCATCTCAGTATTCATACTTCACTGGTTTTGGGGATTTCATCGGAGCGGTGCTTTCCCTCCTGAATGATTATCCTGCAAACCGGGGGCCTAATCGCCAAACACCATTACATTCTCCTGTTGTACTATCATGGCAATCATTTCATTCATATGACGTGTAAACAATAAATATGTAATTCTTACATCACGTCTCTCCGGTTTGAAATGAAAGCTTTAGCGCAAGTTCAATAAGGAAGACCTAACTCGAGTCACTCACACGTCACTCTATGGCTCCCTTCCCCCCTCATTAAATATGAGGGCGTCACGCCTCAGCAGCCAATCGCTGCACATGCTAAATGCCTTAAATACCTGCTCTTCCTCCCTGTCAGTTGTCATTGCAGATGATCACACGCAACCCGCCTCCACCCCTCTCGCCTCCCGTCTCCTTCAGGACAAAGCTAAACCTTCCTCCTTCAGACTGGTCTCACCTACTCATCACCACCACCAGTGTCTAGACCCCGGGGATTTCATCGGAGCGGTGCTTTCCCTCCTGAATGATTATCCTGCAAACCGGGGGCCTAATCGCCAAACACCATTACATTCTCCTGTTGTACTATCATGGCAATCATTTCATTCATATGACGTGTAAACAATAAATATGTAATTCTTACATCACGTCTCTCCGGTTTGAACTACTGTTGAACAACTTATCTTCTCAGATGATAAATCTAGTAATGATTTCTCGTCCCGCCTCTCATATTTACTGGAATAAATGCATAAATACCTACTTAATATAACTTTAAACCTGACCAAAGAACAAGACTAATAACAAAACAAACCATCACATACTGACAAAACTAAAAAAAGAGTGACATGTAAACATTAAGAGTAGTGTCAACACATGTATTTTATCAATATAGCCATTTGCAAATGAGAACATCTGTCACACATTTTTGAAGATACAACGTAATAAATGTTGACATTGTAAAAGCAATATATTTTCCTTTTTAAACTTTTATTCCTACTCGTAAATATTAGAAAATTATGAATAGAAACATAATTTTAAGTGTGAAATAATATGGAAATAGGCGTATTAGGATTACTGGATGGTGACAGGAAAGACACTTTTGAGGCCCAAATACTAAAAGCAGTTACACAAGGCCATCATTTTGTATTCCCAACATCAAAGTTGAACTTGTATTTATTTGATTTTCTTTTCATCAACCTGTAGCGCATGTTAGCAGTGATGAGGGAAAAAAATATAAGCAATGCAATCCAGTAGCTAGCTAACGTCTTTTATATCAAAACATGCACATTCAAAACTGTCTCCGAAGTTCTTAATTTTATTCCCAAGTTAATTATATTATATAACTTTGATTTTAACAAAAATGTAAATATTACACACTAACAGACTTCCTTATTTGAGATGCATCCTTCACCAAGTAGCAGAAATGATATAAATATTTATTAACATTCTTTCTTTACAACTTAGATTTAAGACTCTTGCAATATTCTGACCCAACATATACAATGACTTTCCAAAGCAGTGCATATCACCAGGATCAGGCATTTTCTATAAAAACATTTAATATACAATGCAGTCCCTTTTATTCACATTGACTACGGCAGAACCAATGACGTTTTTTTTAGGTTTCCAACAACAACTACCGCACATCCGACAGATTCCTGATGATACATGTTTGTGCTCTGTGGCTTTAAAGTCTGAATTTAGATTTTTTTTGTACACAAATATCCCCATAATGTCAGTTCTTGTCACACGTTCTTCGTGGCCTTCTCATCACAAACTGTAACCACACTTTGACTCTAGTCTAGACTGTGACAAATATTGTTTTTCCTTCATTAGTGTTGAGGAACAGCAGCATGTTATTGGGTTTCAGTTATTATGGAGTGAACATTTTACTGCTCAGCGAGCTCTCGGGCCTCTTTCACCAGGTCCATCAGAGTGGTGAACATGGAGATGTCACTTGGCTGAAAACCCATCTTCTCGATCTGAGAAGAGAAAACAATCAGAAACATTTCAGATGAGTTTTTAACAGAACTTGGTGCAATTTCTAATTTCAATAACATTTGTTTAAAGTATACGTTTGTTACCAGATAAATGTGAATTGTTTTTATCATGATTATTATGTCTCTCCACCCGCAGCCTACCTGTTCCCCCAGGTATTCCACATCCAGTGCCAGTTGTAGTCGGATCTTGCTGTCGTCTGTGGGTCCACCGTTGGCTCCTGCTGTGGAGGTCATGCTTGCACCCTTTCTGGCTTGCTTTAAGCGCTTCAGACTCTCCTCCATCTTCCTCACTGAGCTCAGAACCTCAGAGATGGTCTCATAGTACCTGAACACAAGACGTAGGGAAATGAAAGCGGGTATATGTGTTGGTTGCAGCTGGAAAGTCTTATTAAAAAGGCAAGCAAAACAACTCTCAAGAAAGAAAGAAATCATCCTTCATTTATATAACATGTAATAGCTCGTTCTGTAGAAAATATCGGCACAGGCCCTTTCAAAGCTGGTAATGTAATAATATCTGGGTGTGTATTTATGTTTGCAGGTGTGTGTCTTACCTCTGTGTGCAGTCAGACAGTGCCACTCGCAGCCACTCTTTTGCTGTAGATTGGTGGACCAGCCCTGTTGAGTCAGTCAGTAACTGAACTAACGGCCGCAAGGCGTTGTCCATGTAGGCGGATGCACGCACCGGCACATCCTAGACAACACGTAAATTAATAAATATTACAATTTGTATTGACTGCTGAATTTAAAGTATTTTTTTCATGTTGCAGTTATCAAGATGGGTTTTGAGTCATATCCATCGCTTTCTATCTCAACAGCTAGAGATTTATATTTTTCTCGGTAAACTTTTGTTTCAGGCTACAATGATTGTACAATGTGACTGTAGAGCCTTGCAGTTGTCAGATGACATTGATGGAAAATATGAATAAAGATTCAGCATTCACAGATCCTTCAAGGACTTAGATGAGGTTCAGTGGCAAGGCAAGTTTATTTATATAGCACCTTTCAACACAAGGCAATTCAAAGTGTAAATAAAACCTTATTTGTTATGTTCTCCTCTGAGCTACTGATTCCCAAATGGTGTGGATTTTGTCACAGAGAATGTTGATTAGGTTAAAAATTCCTTTTTATAGGGTCAAAAGGAAAATAAAATAAGTATATGCCACAGTTCCAAGTCCATTAGCCTTTGAAGCTGAACTGTTGATCCCAATCCAAAAAGTTTCTCCATGAGGGGATGTTACATGAGGAAATCTATGAGAAACATGTTGGTGTGCGTTTTTGCAGCTTCACTGACCTTATTAGTCCTGCGGTACAGTCTTGGGACCTCAGAGGCACTCTTCAGGAAGCGGCAACTGCGTTCAGTCAGATGCTGGGTCATCTTGATATTTAAAGTGGGAATGCTACTGGACAGGCAAGTCTTGGAATCCATTAAGGCGTCTGACAGAAAGGAGAAGTGCAAACATGGTCCGAGTTACCCTGGTGCTAAAGCCAAGAGCCAAGGAGTGATTCAATGAGTGACTGACATGTTGTGTTTGGAGATGTCATGATCTAAAGCCTAAAGGGGACTGAATGGATACACTTTTAAATGTCAGTGAACACCAGCATTTTTTTAATAAATAAGAACAGCAGATAAAATGCAATCATTTGATGTACGCGAAAGCAAATATTCAAATCAATTTTTTTTTACTTATAGGCTTAATTAGTATGATGTGTTCTGTAAGATTATGAAAACCTCTGTTGGACTGAAATCTTGTTTTAATTTTGAAAAACTAAGGCCTGCCTTTAAATATTAGTGTCATGAAATCCTCCTCCATTCTCATGTACTGACAAAACATTGTAAGATCAAGCCAACACTGCAACGTTATTAAAGAAGCCAAAAGGAAGCTTACCTTCCACCACAGCAAAGTTTTTGAATCCAATCGCTTCTAACCGTATTCTGACCGTCTCTGACAACTCTGGTATCTGAGAGAAAACCAAGCAAGCTGTCAGTGTGGAAGCAATTAAGTAAATTAAGAAAAAAAAGGATTACGCGAGTTATCTGAAGAACAATTTTGAAAGATGTAAAGAACACGTGTAATGTATGTATTTAGTTTGTGTGTGTACCTGTTCCTGCAGCTTCTGGATGTCAGCTGCTATGTAGACCAGCTGTTTGGTGGACAGAGAGGCAGGACTCCCGCTCTCACTCCCCCCCGACGTCCGGCTGGAGGTGGAGGAGGCGGAGCTGGGCAGAGGCCTGGTCGGCTCTTTAGGTAACTCAGGCGTTGGAGTCTTAGTCAACACCTGGGCACACACCGATCAAGATGAGCAACAAGAGAAAGCGACAGCAACATTTCTATTCATTTGCATATTGCTCTTTTTTAAGGTTACCTCGTCAAGAAACTTGGCATATCGTGCGTAGAGCTGCAGCGTGAGCTTCCAGAAGCGATGTGCCAGAGGGGACAGGTAGACTTTGTCTGACCAACATCTCATCAGACACGACCACAACACCTCCGACACCTGCAGGTGGAAGGCACTGCCAGCTGCTGATGAACACACACAGATAAGTGACTGCAGGGAGAGTATCAGCTACACACGGGCATTCATGACAGAGAATTATTCCTACCTGGTGCAGCCTCAAGTCCATCACTGATGGCGTTCTCCAGACTTCCAGCAATTTCCTTGTACCTGGAAAACCGTGAGACAAAACAATCAATGTGCTATCGGCTTATTTCATTTATCAGCTCTGACGTGCAAGTGTTCATGACTTGTAACAACACTGTTAGAAGAAATTGACTTTCCGGAAAAGCTGAACAGTGCAGGTTTGTGTTGTGAAAGAGGCCTAATCTTTACAGTGAGAGTGTGAGTGTGCAGGGGCGGTGGACACAGTGGACATTTCTCTACTTTTTCATACGAATCAATAGCCGTTCAGTCAAGGTCCAGTGTCATGTTTATGGGAAATGTTTTTATAATAAGCTGACACATCTAGAGTTTACATTTAGCTTCTTTTCATCATTCTTTAGGAAACTCAAACCCATAAGATATTTTTTCACATTTCTATCACAATAGGCATTCATTATCGTCTGCCAACTTGTGTTTTTCCACAAAAAATGCTGGCAGGCTGCAATTTTACAGCTTGTCTCTTGGGTTCTTCAAAAAGCATGCTGCGCAGAAAATACACCCGCCCTCCCAACGTCCGACTACTTTCGTTTAACTTGAAGGGTTTACATTAAGATCAAAACACACATATTATCCACTGCCTGCTAGTAAAAAGAATATAAGCTAAGGTTGTGATTATGTTTGAGTTTCTTTCTCAAATCAAAAATCTTTTTATTTAGTTTTCGACAATCAATAAGCAATGTTTGTCATATAGTAATGGTAAACATCATATATGAGTTTCTTTCTAAACCAAAATAGCTTGAAGAAATAGTTTTATATAACAAAATGCTATAGATATTGATTGTCAGATACAAATAGTGACATGTAATGGTCAGACACTGATCTAATATCACATATGAACATCTGACTAGCACTTCTAAAAAAGAATATGGGCAGCCAAAAAGAAGAAATACATTGATTTTCTTTTATAACTTTTACAAGAAAGGACATAACGGTATTTCCGATATTAGCAACCTATTCCCTACAATTAGTATTTGTAAAGCTCTTAACAAATCCGAACAGCTTTCAATTTCAAAGGATGTATAGAAATGTGAAGTCCAATATGATGTTAGGTGAAGCATATAAATGTGCTCTTAAAGGAGATATAACTGGCTATAGCAGGGGTCGGCAACCCCTGGCACGCGTCCAGTGGCACACTAGGAATAAGTGGAATAAGTCTGCAAAATATTATTAAATTGTATTTTCTGATCCTGAACGAGACCGCCGCCAGAGCGCGTCTCCCCGTGACCTGCAGAAGGAAGCCATGCACACAACGCAGCCCCGCTCTCTTTATCTCCAGTTGACTTTCTGCCGCTTTCCTCCGTGGTGCAGTGCTGATCGTTTCACCACGGAGGAAAACACTTCACAAATTGCAGTACCCATAAGGAGCTGTACAAATGCCGCAGTTTTTGCGTGGCTGTGTCTTTAGTTGAAAGCCCAGTGGCGATCTGCTCATCTCTCATCGAAATAATATGCTACAAAGGGGCGGACTGGCCATCTGTGTGTTGAACTTTCCTGTCGGCTCCCAGACCGTAGTCGAGGAGGGCAGAAGCAACAAGCTTCAGCTTCAATAACCCACTTTAGCTTAAATGACTGGAGAGAGGCGAGCTCTTCTTGGGAGGCCGTTGCGATTTTTTTTTTAAATGGCACTTCATATCAAAAAGGTTGCCGACCCCTGGGCTATAGTGTACTCTGTGTGACCTATAGGCTGTAGTATGTATAGATCATATTAATAATGCACCTTAGTTGAAAGTAGACAGGCAGGTTCCATTTGTTCTGGAAGGTGGTGTATGAGGGGTGAACTCTCAGTCTCTTCACACTGGCCTGTGAGCTGCACTGACGCTCAAACCTCCGCACAAACTCCATACTCTCGCTGTAACGCTAGAAAATAAAAGGACAACAGAAAACACACATAGGTGACGCTGCTCAACACTGAATCATGCCACACAGAAGTGAATGTTTGTGCACACAAATCATGTCCCTGTGTCTGTACCTCAAAGAATATTTCGGGGTTTCCAGGGTTGAAGAGGTAGGACAATCTCTCCTCTATCCCTTTGATCATCTCAGGCCACACAGAGTTCACCAGGAAATCATAACCTGGCACTACGACAGATTTGTCACTGAGGAGAGAGGGAACATCAGCACATTATAAAGTATGAAATATCATCTACTTTCTACACTACGGTTTCATTTTATGCGCAGAATGTAGGATTAGTATTTGTTTAAACATATTAAGTCAATTACGTATTGTAATTATATAAATATAAGAATACAGAATAAAAATGAACCAAAACGTCAAAGTAATCTATTCTAAAGTAATATCTAATACTGACTGAAGCATCATAAAGACTGCTATGGTGCTACAAATAGAAATGTGAGCTGAATACACTGAATGCAACAGTTCCACACATGAAAGCAGATGATTTGCTTTTCTAATAAGAGCAAGAGGATTTCAAAGCACAACCAACATTTTGAGGACAATAAAGCCGCTGGGTCTTTGTGGTGATCCCAGACAGGTGCCCTTTGGATCCTTTGCTTACTCCCCTTGTACGTTTCCCCACTGTGGGACAAATAAAGGCTTTCTGATTTGAAAGAGGAATATGGTCTCAACATTTTGGGAAAAAAACAACCGTTGGCATTTTAATAAAAAATTACCATGTAAAAAAAAAGGTATCTTAATGTTGCACACATATGGATGAAGATGGAATAAACCACAAAGAGTTGCTTGATCTATGCATGCTTTGAATTAATTTGCCTCCATGATAACAGCAATACCTGGATCTGGCTCCTCCAGTCACCTCTCTGAGCAGTCTGCAGTGATGAGGAACAAACTCCAACAGTCTGGAGTACATCAACTGGAGACCATTCGGACTGGACTTCACCACCTCTTCCACTATTACCTAAAATAAGGAAAAGAGAGGAGAGGATATTCTGTTAAACATATCTGTTATTTTAAAGTACAAACTCCCTTGGCTCTACAGTATATTGAAACATGTGTTGTATGTTTACCTGGTCCATGTATGGCTTGACCAACACCTGTCCCACCAGGGCCTCAGCATCTCGAGTCTTGTCTATGGTGGCGTACGTCCTCAGGCAGTGACACACCATGTCCAGGTTGGATGTTTGCAGACCCTCGATCAGCACGCCCTCCAGAGACTGCTGCAGCATGGAGGTGATCCCTGCGATACGCTAACAGAGGACACAGACAAGAATATATTCCATCAAACATCTGTATAAAAGTGAAAACTAGGATCAAATATTTGGGAAATATCGTCTGCCCTTAAACAGAAAGACTGCACCTTTTTTTTTAGCTGTTTGATGTTAACACTTACAGGTCTGACTTTGTCCAGTAGGGGCATGCCTTTGCTCTGTACAGCGTGGAACTGCAGCTGGTTGAATTCTGTAGCAATCCTCTCCAGGACCTGGCCTGCCAACAAGGGACTGTACAGAGGCAAAGAGAAAAAGTTAAGACACAATGGCTTAGTGCTACATTCCTGCAGCAAATAGCTAATACTATTTGAACCTCTGGCACATGGCTATGTGATATAGAGATGCATACATTGAAACTCTTATAACGTGTTTAATAACCTGCCCACATTCAAATCGGTTATCGGTTAAGTGGTTCTCAAATGGGGGTACGCGGACCCCTAGGGGTACGTTGGAGTACTGCAGGGGGTACGTGAGATTTATTTTATGTTAATGAAAAAAATATAAATATACCAATATTAGGAAAAGTACCGAAGTTTGAGCAGTGTGGGTTTTATATTAATAGACTATATTAATAACTGCAGTTGTCTCCCTGTCAGAATGACAAAGATCCTCAGTGAAGCACAAGCCCATGTTTCTCACTAAATTGTAAGTACAACTCATTAAACAGATCAGTTCAATGCAACTAATGTCATCTTAGTGTTATTGCATGATGTTAAAATTGGTTTGCCATGAATTTAGTGATGGATAGTAAACATTTGAAATGTAGCATTTAAGTGTTTCTCAGTTACAATGTTGTTGTTTTAATAAATCAGACACTGATGGTGCAGCGCTGTACTGTACCTCTTTATTTTTTCAAAAGGGGTACATTATTGAAAAAAAGTTTGAGAATCACTGATCTAAGTGATACCAGTGGTTTTGAGCATAGATGAGTGTCCAACCTGCTGATTTCCAGGGAGCCAGATTCCTTGGAGTTCTGCGAGTTGAGGATCTTCTCAATTTTCTCCACCGAGCGCACCACCTGAATCAGCCTCAATACACACACCTGATGGATGGGATATTGCCAGGTTATGAAAATATTTAAACTCTTTAAAACAGGATTATAATCCATGTTGCACTAAAAATAATTTGTTGAGGCAACACTGGGTTTACAGTTTGGTAAATCATCCTAAAGTATATTTAATGATGAACTCTAAATATGATCAGATGAAGATGTCAGACAGGAAGAGGACGAGCCAAACCTTCTTTTTCTGCAGATCTTCCTGTTTGGTTAGCTGGTTGTCTATAGCCTGGATCACCTCACTCACACAGGACCGCAGACTCTGAAACAGACATCAGGAAGAAACATTCATGAACACTGTAACAGGGATTTATCAAGGTTTCAGTTAACTTCACACAAAAACATACCATAACCTCCTCTCGTAACTGTCCCAACGGCACAGAAAGCTGATTGAGGGCTTTGTCCATCCCCACCTGAGTCAAGGGAAGCAGAGGTCTAAGATTAGGGTCTGTCTACTATCACGTTATCAGATTTACTTAAAAAACAAAAAACTGCATGGTATGCTTCCTTTTTGACCACCATTATAAGACCCCATATTTTGAGGCTGATACTGATATTGATAGATAAGAAAACAAACAAAATAACAATCAAGATTGTTCTTTTAAGATAATTTAAGCATACTTATTTTCAGTTTAAAACAATACACCACTTAAAATATAGATTTACAAGAAAAGCAAACTAAGAAATACATTCTTTGAATGTGTAGGTTAGGCTCCAGAAAAAAACCATCTGAACAAAAATCATGACAGTTTATATTTAAGGTAAAGCTTGTCACTTGGACATCATATAGATAATATGTTTTGATAGACGCCTAACTGAATTGCCTTTTTTGTTTACTGTTGATTACAAGCTGCTGATTGCAAGGTCTAAAATGTACAACCAAATTCATTACTGACCAGGTTGGTGGAGAGGTTAACAAAGTCGGCGTAGTCCTTATTGATGAGCTCCACCATGGCTGTTTTCAGCAGCTTGTAGTAGAGCTCCAGGTCCTCCCTCATCTCCTCCATCTGGACCTGCTTCCGACACTCCGCCACAAACTGGTCCACGTCAAAGTCATCCTGCGAGAGTAACACCAGACAGAGCAGTCGTGTACAGGTTAATACAAGGTTTATATAAAAGCAGCCAGTCATGCATGGAACAACCAGCATTACTAATGGAGAGAAAGTCGACTTTAGCTACAGAATGACGGACCAAAAATACAAATGTAGGCACCTGATACTGAATGAACACATTTGTATTCATGAAACACGTCATTTGCTGTGATAGCTCATGTTCTGTAAGGGTAACGTTTGACATGTCCGACATTAACAACATTAGCTAGGATCGTGAATGTGTACCAAACATGTACAAACATTATTAGGTATTATGTATTCATAAATAAATAATACATGTGTAAGGAAGATAAGCAGCATCCAGTATGAACATTCAACTAGCTAATGATAGCTAGTTTAACAACATAAGCTTTATATAGCGTGTTAACAAACGTCCCGTTTTTTCTTACCTTCATAAAAACATCCTTATCGAAGCACAGCGAATCTGGTCCCTTTGGTAGATTCATATTTGATTATAAAATACAGCTACAGCATAAAGTGTAAATGTAAGAAGCCTCCAGCTATCTGCTAGAAACAAGCTTCCGCAAACATGGCAAGTGCACCAACGAAGAAGAGTCTGGAGGACCACTGACGCCATAGCGACCTCTGGAGGCCAGATGGGGTACACTGAGGCGAGGCGAGGTTCATGCTTATTAACCTGTTCTCACCATAAAAAAGTTAACAAAATATTAAATAAATACAATACAAGTAACTCCATTAAATGGATAATGAGTTCAATGCTGGCTTATCTGCTTTCTATTTTTTAGAAAGCAGGCTATACGTTGACGCCATGGTTGACCCGCTATCATTTGGACTGATTTTACTGTATTTTACATCATTAAATCAAAGTCAACACATGACCAGTATGCAATCTACCAGAGGTTATGCCATGTAGTCTGACTCTAAACAGTTAACACGTTTAATTAACGAACAATATTTTTTTAATGAAATAAACATGTCATACAGAAAGACAAAATAAGAAATAAATGAATAAATCATTAGGTTACTAAACATGTTTTTTTAATATGTATGGCCAGTATTACATGATGGAAAATATTAGCTATTTCATACATATTGTCATGCATTTGATGTATTATTGGCTCACCATTAATAATCATAATTGTTCCACATCTTATCTCCATCATCACCATCCTCCTGTAATTTGTTATGAGAAAATGCATCTTATTGGACGACAGTGCAGGGCTGAGGAATCAGGTGATGCAGCGGCAGCCACTACTCTCTCTATTTGCTGTATTTGTAGGGAAATCACTGGTCTCTCAACCCGGATGCTGTGCCACTACTATCGATAATGTTGCCCAGTGCGCAGCGCTTTAGGCAGAGCAAGGAGGCGGAAATATTTCAGTACCCTTGAAGCGAACAGCGCTCCCGGGATCCGCACGCTTTCTGAACACCGGGCTCCTCATCCAAGCCCGGCGAGCAGGCAGGACTATATTCATACCGGGGTTAGGGGACGGTGCAGCGGTCACGGTAAAGCTCTTGCAACATCGTGACAGTTGCACGCTGCTGTAGTGGAAGGGTGAGAGAAAGGGAGGAAGAGAGAGAGAGAAGGGGAGCATCAATACAGAGAGAGATGGCGGAGTGCGGGCGGAAGGCGCTGTCTCTCCTGGAAGCGGCCCGCTCCCGGTACGAGAGCCTGCAGATATCCGATGATGTGTTCGGGGAGTCCGGGGATGACAGCAGCGACAATCCCTTCTACAGCACCTCCGGGGACTCCGACTCCGGGGACTATATTGCCGAGGTGGGTGAGGAGGACCAGCAGCAGCCGCAACACCACCACCACCACCACCAGAAACGGGGCGATAAGGAGGGCAGTGGACACCGTGGGGGGTCCGGAGGGGGCGGCGGTCCCCCGGGCGCCCTGTCCCGTAGTCAGGCGGAGGAGGAAGGCTGGACGGAGACTCTGCAGGATGTCACGGTGCCGCCTTTCAAAGAGACATATGGTGAGACATGATGCATGACAACACGAATAGGGTAATGTGCAGATGAATTGTGTGTGTGTGATGGAGAGACAGTCCTTGTTCATGTTTGTCAGGTCAGACAGGACATTTCTGTGGCCATTGTGCCAAAACAGCACACAAAAGGCTATTGCTTTGGAACAACTGGACGCTTGTTTCATTTTCGGTGTGTGCGTGCATCCTAGTGAGTGACAGTAAGAGAAGCATGACTCTGCATCGTTAATTGATGTATCAGGTTAATAACTAACGCTTAGCCTTTGATACCTCGCCCCTTGGTGCTGTGGTTCACATGCTGTCCTGTGTGAGGGCGTGTTCATGTTTCTGGGCAGGGAGACATGCTGTTTAGTTCAGAGAATCAGCATGATGTCTCTCCTGGTTGTACACATATACAGTATGAACACACATTGCATAATGAATAGTGTACTGAATGCCTATGTATGCAGAATCAGATGCACAAATTGTGGCATCAAGTTAGTTAACAGAACTCATAACTATATTAACATTAGTCACAAGGCACTCCAAGTTTGGTTGCACACTTTTTGCTTTGTCTGTGTGTCTCTCTTTTTGTCTCATTCTGTCTTTGTGATAAGCATTCTGTTTAAACCCCAATGCTAGCCAACATGTATCAAACTGACTGTCTCTTTCTCAGAACAGTTTTTATCCATTTATCTATCACTTACATTATACAATATGTATCAGGGAATGGAGGGTGTGGGTGTATAGTGCAGTGCCTTCTGTCAGGCTTTGCTTGGATTTGCCCCCTCTAAACACTTCTGCCTCATGTGAAGCATTAGCAATGGGTGTAAAGGCCGTCCAATATCCACTGTGACATGTTGCACTGTGGCACCATTGGAGGTGAATCAGCATATGGCTGTAGCAGATATGGACCAAGCTCCATTTTAGCTCATAGAAACACACATTGCAGCATTCATGTAAAATGTATAAAAGCACATATTTGACTGTAGTTAAAATGGTGAGGAAACCACAGAAAATCATGCAAACTGCATTGGTTGTATGCAAACATTTGTTTTTGCAAGCTGTTTTAATGCAAAAGGAAAATATATGCAGGCTCGGGCTTAACATTACAAATAAAAGACCTGATATGATCAAGACATCAGATAAAAGTTGTAAACTATTGTGTTTACTGTTGTTATGTCTCCCAAATTGAGGTGGTGTTATTGGCCTGTCCCGGATAGCAGGATTACCGGACAGGACACCAAACAAAACCCAGAACAGCTCTGTTTTCAGCCAGCCTGCAGCTGACTTCAGTAATCCTGCTTTGCGAGACAGGGCAGATATAGAGTGGTTTATATTTCAATACCAAAAGTTTGGGCACCAAAAAGGGTAATTGGGTGAGGCTTTAGGATTTCCTGTACTGACTCATCCAGCTCTATCCTGCTTTGTTGACCTATGCTTGTGAAGCAGCAGGTGTGTCCGTCTGCTTTGTACAGCCTGGTCTGTTTTTTAAGGACACAGTTTGTGTCTGTTTGCACAAGGCCTGTGTGGGTGTGGTCTCGCCATCTTGCATCAGGGTGGAGATGATAAAGAGCTGCCCCCCTGGATAGAAGCAGGACAGCAAAGGAGCATAATCTCACTTCAGACCTCAAGTGATCAAGAGCTTACTCTGATTTTATCGGCTGTAGCAGTAACGTCAGATTGCATCTTGAGCATCGGCATATCAACATAAAAATGCTTCTCTGATTTTAATGGCACGTGATGGTAAACTGCTTAAGCTATGAGGTTTTCCCCTAAGGTGGATTCAGTGACATGTTTATCACATGTCTGGATTTCTCTGTCTAGCTATCGGCGCACCCTTTTCTCACCTACCTGTCTGCCTCCCTGTCCATTTCTCTGTCTGTCTCTTTGTCTCACTGTCTGGCTGAGACAGTGCTGACACAGTCCCAGTGCTAATGTGACAGCTCCCCTCCTTAAACACTGTGCACCCCGTACATAAATCATCAGCAACCGTCAGAAAGCATCCAGTCAACTTCTTACGAACTGGAAGTGGATTTGGGTTGTTTAGATAGTAAAGCAGCTCCTCCTTGGTTTTTAACCAGCAGCGATGTCTATAAGCCGGCTGAGTTTTTTTTCGCTTGCATAAAAATGTGGTTCGCCCAAGGTCAGATTTATAGGTGAGGTGTTTTGTTCATCTCAGCGAGAGACTGTTGCCCCTGAGAGGTTGAGGCAAAGGCCAAAGCCAAGGATTATGAAGCATACTTCCACATCTCAGATTATATAACAATTTATCCTGATGTTCGAGGGAATTAAAGATCTATTTATTCATTCACTTTGCTGGGCATGTCTAATAGATGACTGGTACTCTCCATATGTAAGTTTCTCTGCATGGCTGCATATTTCCGTCTGTGTGTCCTGTTTGCCTGTTGCCTTGTACCATGGCAGAGTCATTTTGAAAAAATATGTACACAGACAAACACAGTGAAGGTTGCATGTATAAAAATAGAAGTCTTGTCAGGTATATTTACTGGCTGTTTGACAAGAAGGCTCTGACTCTACAACAGAATCACAATCAGAAACAGCTTTATTGCCAGGTAGGTTCGTACATACTAGGAATTTGACTTAATGTCATGGTGCATACATACAATATAAAAAACAAGAAATCTAATATAAAACAAACAATCTTTTACACCGTAATAAAATACAGTTAAATAGCAATACAAATTAAATAAAGCAGTGATTTACATGGGAATAGAATGCTATGAATGAATTTTAGAATATAAACTATGAAATGTGAAATAAGAATATGTGCAGACAGGAGTATGAACATTGAGTGCGTTAATGTAATGCATATAGTCTATGATGTGGCAGAGGTAAAGTGTCAGTGGGGGGGGGGGGGGGGGGGGGCCTTGTTTAAGAGGCCGGTAGCGGAGGGGAAGAAACACACACTTATCCAAATATTCACAAAACAAAAAACATGCTGAATGTTTATAATAATAAATGCCCATAGATGGAATGAAAACACTAAATGAGGTAATATCACTTATTTTCATAGGGGTGTGTTGACTTACAGTTGAATTGTATTGTATTAAACACAAATTAAAGAAATGACAAAAGGTAAAGAAAATAAAGGGGAAACTAAATCACAATCAGATGCTCATGTTTGCATTGTCAAATTCACATATAACTGACAATTTTATACCGTACAGTATGTTACTGGATACATCATAATAAGTGCTAACAACAAGAGCCATCTGGACATCTTTTTAAGGCTTTTGAAAAAATAAACAATCATCTATTTAATTTCAGGATTTTGTTGAGTTATGTCATCCCAAATTCTGACTCTTAAATCCTCATAGTAGTGTACGATAGAACATTGACTGAAATGATCACATTGCATTGCTACTTTTTTCTGATGCACAGCAACAGAATACAGATATTTTTACAATCCAAATATAACATACATTTTATTGACATAAAAATATTACTATTTTTATTTGCTTGCATTTCAGTATGGCCATAGCTGGGATTCGTCTGAGAAAATAATTAGAAATGGCTTTCAAATCCATGTGGTCTTTCTGTAATTTCCGCTAGCTTAAAACATGTTTCGTCTACAGGAAGGGTTTATCTACTAAACACATTAATCTCTCATTCTCAAATCCATGGCTATAAAAGCTCTACCAGGCAGACGTGTGTCCCTTAGCAAATATAAATACTACAACAGCTGATCATCATGAGGGATTACTTGGGTTTATAGGTGCAACGTAGCGAGTTGTGTAATGTGGGAAATTGATATGTCGAACCTTTCTATCTACAGAGACATTAGCTAATATTAGTAGTCTGAAAGAAGGAATATGTAAGTGTTTGATTCCGTTTAATCAGCATGATGTAGGTTAGATCAGCTGGTAGATCTACAGAGGAACAGATTAAAACAGTCCATTATCGTAAAAAATAATGAGTTCTTCCTCAGTTTGTATTTTTGTGGTGAGTCACTGTGCATCGTATGGCCTTACATCTGAATGTCTGATGTTTTTGATGGAGGAGTGGCTTGCTTAGGGGAAGTCATGCTTGATTTTTCATTCAGCTTTCAAGTCTAATGGAAGGCAAATGAGAGGATTTCAGCTCGTGGCACACCACTCCTGCTGTCTCTGCCTCGGCATAGCATCAGTTCTGTGGGTGTGCTTTGCTTGTTTCCTCTTCTTGTCCTCCTCCACATGTTGTTTAAACAATTAAGGTTTAAACCCTGCACACATTATCTTTAACTCAACATTAGAAGTCTGAAGCTATCGTGATTGTGGTTGTAACCGCTCAGGAAAGGAGAGACGATGGATTGAGAAACCTTGTTCTACGCTGTTCAGGGATAATGAGATCGTGCTGTTCAATTTACCCTGAAGTTGTTCTGCTCGGCATCCAAATTTCCTCTCACGGATCTAACAACCTTAGAGAAAATCTCTAATTCATTACAAGAGCAAACACATCAAGCCAGTTGTTGCATTGTGTATTGATTGTGTAGCTTCAATGCAACACCTAAAAGCTAGCAGATAAATTGCTTTTAAATGGGAGGTAAACGCCACCTTCCCCTCGGTAAACTAGTGAATTAGAATATGAAAGTACCATGCTGCCATTTATTTTATTATTAATCAATTCTTCTCAGCTATCTATTTTATGAATGCAGTCATAACGTATAGCTTAATGCCTATAATAATTATAACACATATTTTATTTTAACTTTTTCACCAGTTAGAAAAGTTGCTTTCAAATATTTCAATTGTTAACCCATTACTTTATGCAAGTAACTGTTTAAAGCTATAAGATACATTAATTCATTATTTGATTATCCATCAATTTAATTGAACCTTTCACTAAATATTCATTAGCTCAACCTTACAATGTACCCCTTAATTTAAGATCACCAGTTTCCCTGTGTATTACTTGAATGTCTGCTATGTTAGATGCATTCATCTTTTGGTTAAAAGATAAGCTGTTTAAACAAACCTTTATCGTCAGCTGATGCTTTACTGACAGTATGACTTCAGATCTCTTTCATTCATGGCACCCTCCTGACCCGACTAACGGATCAGAGCATGATTTTGACTCACTGTGTGACATAACAATAAAGCAGCGAGACACTGAAACCTTCGACAAGCGTAGAAACGCCACGCTGAGACACAGATCACAGTGTGGCGGCTGTCATGTTGTGTAAATGATCTAACCGCTGCCCTGGGCGCGTGACATTCAAACCAAATACTTCTGTGGCTGATTCATCAGAAAGCACAGCGATTCTTTATGAAAGTTGTATTTTAAGACTATTTATACGATGTAAGTCTACCTTATTAATGGATGTTTCCTCCGTATTCTTTTCTAATGAAGTGACATTGTCAAGAAACAGTTTGTATGCTTCCCTCACAGCATATACAGTGACAGCTCATCAAAATCTAATTTTGTGTGTCAAAAAATAAACCTTTTATTGAGTCAGTCTCTAAGGCATTTTGCCAAAGGTTGAAAACTAGGATTAAGTGACAGTTGTGTCTGTGAGTAAGCCCATATGGGACTCTCTCTCTATCAATCTGTCTGTTTTCATATCATCATTTTCCCCCCTTGCTGTCCTGATTCAGGCCCTGCTCAGAAGATGACGTCCAGCGCCACAGCCCTGGACTTCTTCCAGCTCTTCGTCCCAGATAACTGCATCCAGAACATGGTCACCCAGACCAACATGTATGCCAAGAAGTTCCAGGAGCGCTTTGGCTCAGACGAGGGCTGGCGTCCCGTCACAACCCAGGAGATGAAGGCTTTCCTGGGCTTCGTCACCTCCACCAGTGTGCAGCGCTGCGAGTCCGTGCTCAGCATCTGGAGCTCGGGCTTCTTCAGCAACCAGAGCATCGCCTTGAAGATGAGCCAGGCGCGCTTTGAGAAGATCCTCAAGTATTTCCACATTGTGGCTTTCCGGCCGTCACAGGGGAGCAACCAGGGCCTGTACAAGATCCAGCCCTTCCTGGACTCGCTGCAGCAGTCCTTCAGCTGCACCTTCAGACCCTCACAGACACAGGTGTGTGCTCTCTCCCTCAGGACTGCTTCTCTCTAAGCATTGCATATACGCTGGACAGCTAGGTGCTATTTTGTGCATATATTTACATATATTTTTCCTCGTACTGATTCTCCGTTCAATACCTTTTTTTACATTTTATTAGTGAACACCCAAAGGTCAAACTGATTTAACAGCACCGTTGACATTAAGCTTTATACCTTTCCTTTTTAATTTCTCATGAAGTATTCCAAGAAATATGAGGAAACATCCAGAGGTCATCTTCAGCAGACAAAATGTTCAGACACATTTTTAAGTCTAAATATTAGCCACACATTGTCAGATCACTGTTTTCTTGTTAGCAGCACATGTTTTACCCCTCAGGTATATATATATACATGTACATGCACTGAATTGTAATATAGTAGCTTAGGAGTTCCCTAATTTGCTTGTGAAATAAAAAGGAAATGTGCTCCCCATGTAGAGCAACCAGGTAGCTCCTGCAAAGAGGCGCAGTTTGAAACCCTGAACAAAGCCTGTGTATAAGTGTAGGCAGTCCTTTTTTACTTTAGGTCTCACTGTTTTCAGTTGCACTGTTTGTATCAGTCACATTAATGCAACTGGGCCACTGGAGCGCCAGCCTTGCTACTCTATTTTGGGTGGGCTGGACTTTTTTTCAGTTCCTACTTTTCTTTCTCCTGGATGAAAAGCAGCACTACAGTTTTGAAAAGAGCAGCAAACAAACAAACTGATTGAAGTGTTATCTCATCAATCAAATCCATATCCTTTCCACAAAGAGAGACACAAGCAATCATCAGCCTTGTTAACTTCAACCTGAAGAAAACAAGCTTACATGTGTGTAATTAAAAGATTGTGTTGTGGCAGTTCACAGAAGGAAAGGCATGCATAGCATATTATTTCCTCCTAAATTAGTCATTATAATCGTACTTAGCAGTGACTCATGTGGTTGGTTGTCATAACAATCAGGACACAGTGTTGAGAGCTTTCTCTTTCGGCTTATTCTTCCATGAAGATAACAAATACAAATCACCTGACATCTTCGGAATTTGGTTAGGACGAGGGCACCCGGGTTGGCTATTTGTACATTCAATTGGATCTTATGCCACCCCTGCCCCTGCTGGTAAAATGTAATGAATTGCTGGGAAGGAGTTGATTAATTGCCTTTCTGCTGGATAAGTGCTATAACATCATCTTCATTATGAAAGATGATGCCGGTACTGTGATGCATTCGGAAATACAGGCTCTTAGCAACTCAGCAAAGGCCATCCTCGTATCACATCCACATCTCATTTAACAATGAATATTTTTGTTAACACAACTTGATGTTAACAATAATGAGTTTATTTCAATTTGAGGTAATTAAGGGGTTTCACTTTAACGCTTTCTATCGATTTGGGTCTAAAAACAACTCAATTGAAAGGAATCAGGGCAGACTGTTTGTCAGAGAGCGTGTGTGTAAGCAGTTAGGGGGTGCATGTGTATCTAAGCCAGTTTGTGTTATCCGTTGGGTTTCTGTGCCAGGGGCAGAAAGAGGGCCCAGATAGTGAAAATGGCAGAATAAAACTCTTGCTTCCCAGACGATTGAAAAGTGATCTGCTCATGTAATGACTGACACAGAAGGAATGGAAGAAGATAATGTGATGATTTGTGTTTGATCTGCTGTCTGTGTTCTTAATGAATCAATTCATCTTCACAAAATAGTGTAAAATGGACACTACAATTTCCAAAATTGTCACATCTATTACCAACTGTCCAAAACCAACCAATATTTAGGTTGATTTTATAGAATAAAACAAACAAATATTTACAATTCAGAAGCTGGAACAATAGATTTGGGTGCATTTTAACTAAATAACAAAGACCATTTAGATTATTACCATTTTAGCTGTACAATTCTGTTGATCAACTTCAGAATTGTATCGACAAATCAATTCAGCTCCATTCTTTAAAAATGACAAGAACTATGCAGGATATTTATCTACATGTGAGTTAGTGTGACCTGGATTTATCTGCCACAAAGCATTATTCAACATTGTGTGCGTGTGTGAATATGAGTGATCGACATTGGTGCTGAATATTAGCATGCTATGTCAGATTATTTTCACATCGATGGAAAAGGGATGCTTTTCTGCATCAGTCTGGCAGTTTTGCTGAGATAATCTGTTGACACTGCTTTGTATTGATTTGCAAGTGTAAAATCTTTGTTGTAGATATCCACTGCTAGACAGCTAGTGATCGGATAGATCAATATCCCTCCTTTCTGCGTCCAATAAAGGATCAGTGAACCTGTGCAAATGATTTACCAGCAGCATTAATGTGCAAATGTAACCACATTGTTTTCATCGGTTAGGATTCGGTGTAGAGGAATATCTGGGAGAAACGAGTGCAGTACAGGAGGAGATAATTCTTAATAGGCCATTATGGTTTGGGTGATGTCATCCATCAAGTGGCTAGATAGCCTCGTTAATTTTTCCATTGTAAAAATCCATTACTCCATATTTGAATTGGAAATGAGTTGTCGCTTTGTCCTGGCGCAGGAGACAGCTGTTGGTCACTGCTCGCTTTAGCTTTAGTCAAATCCTGTCGGTGTGGGAGGAGGAAGACACTGGAGGAAGGGAGAGCCGAGAGACATTTGAAATGCAAATATATGTTTGTGTGTGTCTTTGGGAAATATTTGGCCAGGATTTATGTTTACCGCGCTAGTGTAATCATCCAAGATATTGTTTGGTTTTGTGGGAGTGTTCTGGTAATGCCCTGTTGGATTTGTGAATGTGTCTAATACTTTAATCCCCGTTGAAAAATGTCTCCTCATTATTTGGTCTGACCCATCCCAATTTATCAAGAGACAGGGAGCAGACCAAGGACATAATTCATCAAGAGGAAGACAGCGCAGTTCACCCTACTTTTAAAATGTACTTTGGCACTTCTACCAACATCATTATCGATTGTATTGATGACTACAACAGCAAATATATGCAGTAACTTCAGGAACAACAAACCAAATGACAAATACTATTTTAGTTTTCAGTTTCTAAGGGAAGTATCTTTTTATTATTTGAGAAGTAAAAAAGGAAGTGATTTAGGAAAAGTCTTTAATTATGTTCTCTTCATTGCAATTACTGCTTGTTTTAAAGGTAGATGATGAACATGTATATAGTTAAATGTTAATATCTCCGTTGTATTTGTATGTGTTTATGTGTCATTTTATTTGTATCTGATTCCACTTGCACCATGTTTAGCAGACAGAACAACCACTCTTTGCTTCTTTGAGAGTCTTTTTCCCCGAAGCCATGTCTTGTCTATTTAGATTTATTTTTCAATTTGTTTGAAGCTAGAATACTCAAGAGCAGACCTTAAAAATACTGTCTTCACTTTATTTTGTTCATAAGTAGTAATGGAAATAAAGATGTAGTCAGACAAACGGAAAAGAACACTGGAGCGGATTAAATATGCAAAAGTTAAAGACAAAGCAACGAATAAAGCAATAAAAACAAATGAAAGCCATTCTTCTAAAGGGATCTTGCAGACAGTTCTGTTCAGTTTTGTCCGCGTTTTGCTGCCAAGAACATTCTTTTTTCTCTCACAGTATTGCACCCAAACACATAAAAGACTTGTGAAGAGTTTTGATTGGCTGCCTTCTCTCTCTCTCTAACACTCGCTGTTATGTTACATCATGCACAACCTCGCTATTATGCCTCACACAAAACACGTTTTATCCATCTCAAGGCCAGCTATTTCACATCGTGTACTTTACTTCTGACATGGTTATATAAAAATCAGGAGAAACACATGTAACATTGCCTCTGTGTGTTTCCAGGTACTTCATGAGCCGTTGATAGACGAGGATCCGGTGTTCATCACCACCTGTACGGAACGAGAGCTGAGGAAGAGGAAGAAGAGGAAGTTCAGCCTCTGGGTTCGACAGTGTACCTCCACCGGATTCATCTGTCAGGTAGCAGCAAACACTATTCATTCAGTGTACTCAGCCTTCACAAAACTGAAAAGTTTAAGTTCTGATTTGAGTGTAATAAGATCGAAGTGGGAGAAGTTTGTGTGTTTGTTTTGATGGTATTTTAAAGTGGTGCTTTCAAAACTCATGGTAGAAATCTTTTACATCAGAAATGTAAGAAAAAGTCTGAAGTCAAAAAGGCTTTTTGGAAAACACCTTTGATCATAACCAAAATTCAAATCGTATTCCCAGGTTGTCTCTGTTCATCATTTTTCATTCAGCCAATTATTTGCCTTCACTAGAAATAATTAAATAACTTTTCAGAATTTCAATGAGAACATTTGCAAGCTTCACAAGCATGAAAGGCAAGGTTTGATTTTTTTTAAATGATCAAACTCTGCTAGAAGTGAGAAATGCCTTCTGGGCAAAAGTATTGGTTGTCAGATTTTTCTCTTGGTGTTTTAGATTTGAGTAGCTTCTGGCTCAGGATTACATCTGTGTTATATCTCAGGCAGGGCTGCTCTGCTCACTAACAACCTTGTCCTTACCGCAACCTGCCAGTCCTGCGCCGCTCACTTATGTAACACACACATTAACTGAGGCCAGAGACACAGGAGGACTGACAGACCTGACCATTACAGAGGAAGAAAACACAACAATTTCCTAATTGGCGACAAATGATGGAGACAGCCTGCTAACTAAGCCTGAGCTTGTGAAACACGATGCATGGCCAGACTGCATGTGATAGCATACATTTTTCCGCAAATGCAGGTTGTTAAAGGGACTTTTCTCAATACACAAGCATCCACACACATAAGTTTGCACCGCTAAGAGGATGTTCACTTACACAACACATTTTCCTCCAGTGGTTTCTAGCTATAAAAGCAAGACTTTTTAAATTTGAAATACATTTCAAGTTTATATGAATCTATGATGAGGCCTTGGCAGTCTAAGTTGGTCACATCATGCGGTTCTCTTATCAAGTTGAAGATTTTTAGAAAATAAATCCTATATTTCTGTGTTAATCTCTTGGTACAGGATATTTGTCTCCCTAAAAGTGTTTAAAACATTTGAATTTCTCATCTTGTGTCAAGGTTATTGATGCCTGGTTTGAATTAAAGATTCACATTTTAATTAAGTGTCACAGAATGAGGACTTTGAAATGTGTCTCCCATCGTAAGCATTAGTGGCGCAATGGGAACAGATTTTTGAATCTTTCAGTGAGCACTAAACAGTAATCCATTCATTTGTATGATACTTGTATGAGATCAAGAGAATAATTTATCCTTTCTTGTTCAGGTTTGAGAATGACCTGCCCAATGACAAACTTTACTCTGCATTTAGAGGAATCTGGCAGGAAACATCAATACAATAATACATCATCGTAAAACTGCAGAGGATTATAAATAGAAAAACCAGGCACCAGACGACGCTGCAGGAGAAGTCCTTCTTTAGTCTGGATGTGGTCCAGAACCACATTAGTGTAGAGGGGACCAAACAAGAGCAGAATTTAAATGTTTCCTTTTACATTTTGTATTATCATTCCTTTATATCAAATAAAATAAAACAATTTATAATATTTCTTGTAATCCCAAATCCACTGTGTAAAACATACATATGCATCACAGAAGCCCATAACCCATGATCCCATCGTTTTAACAAATAAGCATTAACATTCACACTGACTGTGTGTTTGGCCGTCACTCAGTCTTTACCAGCCCGCTGATGTGTGTCTGCACTGAGATCTTCCCTCTTTAAATGAATTGTGTCGAGGGAGAAAAAAATCCAAGAAATAAAACGAGTTAATGGAGTGAATCAATGAGATTCCATTAGCCAGTGAACCACACAGGAATACACAAACACACACACATATAAAGACACGCACACACACTGAGCACTTAGTGTAATAGCTAAAGACTCGACGTAGATGCTGGCTAATCAGGCTAATGCTGTTCCACTCGTGAACAACTGCAGGTATATGAGTTCAAGAAGGACACTGGACTGTGGATGGACATTTGTTTGTGTATTTGATATTGACTTTCTTTGGAAGCCAATGTTTATTTGGAGGTCTTTATAGGCATCAGTGTGTTGAGCTGAGAAGTACTGTTCAGTCTGCCTTGATCCAGAGTAACATATCACAACAACATCTGGCCATATTGTCATGAAATATTCATATTCACAGCTCCAGTGGGCACTCTTAAAATAGTTCTGCCATCCTCTAACAGTTTGGAGATAGTTTGGCAATCTTTCACATGTTAAGGCTTAGCTTTCAGTATCGAAACCGTATTGGACAGAATACAGAAGACATTAGTTTAGCTTTAGCACATTCATGTTCTCCACAGGATCCAAATATATACATTAATCAAATTATTTATAAATAAAACTCCCCAGAGAAACCCCACAATAAAGGAAGAGCAACTGAGCCTTCCTTTTGCACCAACATCAGGCAAAAATGTGATTATTTTATGAGAGCACAACACATAGAGAGATAACAGAAAAATGCTGGGAGAAAGGAAGGGGGATTTGCATGCATCACTCCGGACTCAAATAGGCAACCATGAATTGCATATTCATGGTTGCTGCCTTAAAGGAGAAATTCTGGCATATTTCAAACTGCATATTTACCATACATTTTTTATTATTATGAACCATCCCCAATGCAGTTTTGAGTCCAAATAGATATTTTTCCAGCTAAATCTACTGTTTTTTCCGGTGCAACCAGAGAATGCATATTTGTCTTTTTTACTGGATTTTTAAAGGAATGTGAACATGCTGTATTTTTTTTTTACATCATACATTGTAAAATCAAACAGGAGCTTTGCAGAGAGTGATGACTTATATCTGCAGATTTTTCTCATCAAGAGGAAAATAAAAATGGTGCTTAAAACTGAGGTAAAGATTGCTGGTTCTATATCTGTTTAATGGACGTGTCGTCTCTCTCTGCCCACGCTGCAGATCTCAGTGCATCTGAAGGAAGGCACAGACTGTCTGGCCACCTTGAAGAATAAGCCTCAGCTCCACAGCCTGGTGGCCAAGCAGCTCTGCCAGAACATCTCTGGCAAGAACACCATCATCTTCACAGGGCCGTCCATCACCAGCCTCGGACTCTTCACCGAATTCAGCAAACAAGGTACACAAACAAATGATAACATCAGAAATCTGTTGCTCTGTCTTTGTAATACTGTTTAAATAAAACACCTTTTGTTTTCTAACTTCCTTCTCCTCTTCTGTCATCTCTCAACCTCTACCTTTTTCTGCTTTGGTGCACAGAGTGTAGTCGATCTCCCCTACTACCTTAATACTTTGTTTGTTTGTCTTTAGTCGTGTTGTTGTGACGAAAGCGTCAAACACTTAAAGGTGGGGTGGGTAATTTTGGAGAAACCAGCTCGAGTGCACTAGAATTTGAAAATACACAGCCGGAAAAAATCTGCCACTTCCTTACAGAGCCCCTCCTCCAACACACACGAACGCGCACATGACCAATGAGGGCACGAGATAAGTTTGTGCACTGATGGAAGGCTGACAGGCAGGTAGGCCATCCAGTTACTTTAGCCGGGCCGGCTAAAATGATTGGTCGTGCTTTTTACAGAGCTACGGCTTCCACAGATGACATTTTTTTATGGATTTGTTGTCAAAGCACTTTAGATATTCATTGCTATCGGGATGTTAAGAGCATTCCATGGAATATAACAAAAAGTGTATCTCGAGCCGGTTTCTCAAACTTACCTACTCCACCTTTAAGAGAAGACAGACTGTTGCATTTCCCTTTCAAACTTGACTTCACAGCACTAAAGTATGCAGTCAGAATGATTCACTTTTTTTCTACATCTGTCCTTGTGCCCCAAGTGAAACATCTTAATCACATGGGGAGTGTGTAAAAGCACAAGCATGACTCATATGGCAATGCAAACATACGCTAGTAGACCGTATTGTATTTGTCATGTTATGCTTTTGTTTTACAGCTTGGGACCTAAACGTTTCTAAAACCAGTTAAAATGTTTTAAGAAAGTTGCTTGACATTGTAAAGAACAGGCATTATGTCTACATGTAATTCCTAAGAAACAATCCAAGCAATTTGCCACTCTTTTGATTTCATTGATAATTTGTACTTCTTTTAAGAATAATCCATCTTGACGACTGAATCTTAACTGTAGGGTCTTGTCGGGATGGATGTTTTTTTTCTTTGCAAGATTAACCATCCTGCGATGCACTGCTGTAGACTGTTAATTGTCTTTTTACGCGTAATACATCAAGGGAGATTCAGCTAGAAGTACTTTGCTTTTTCATAGCTACAAAATAAATCAATAAAAAGCAGACACTTTAATAAGACACCATTTACAGTATAACACCTGACAACAAGAACCTCTGAATCCAAACAGGCTTTTTTGTCTTTCTGTTACTTACAGCAGTGCTTCTCAAACTTTTTTCAGTCATGTACCCCCTTTGAAACATTTTCTCAGCCAAGTACCCCCTGACCGACACCAAAAATGTTTGATCGAAAAAGCCTATACAAATATTTCCAATATAGTGATGTTCATTTCATTTCATCCCTTTATTTAGACAGATAGGTCCCTTGAGATCATGGATCTCTTTTACAAGGGAGACCTGCATCAATTTAGTTCCACATGAAACATAAAAACAACATAAAAACAAACAATAGAGGACATCATATTTACATATTCACCAACACTTACAAACACCCATAGTGTCAGAAAGCATCTCGTGCAGACGTGCCTTAAAAACATTCAGAGAAATAAAATTGCTCAATTTCAATTATTGCTGAAGATTGTTCCAAGCAAGTGGAGCTGCGCACATAAAAGCTGTCTTACCTAAGACAGTCCTTACTCTTGGTACATCTAACAAGACTACATCCTGCGATCTCAGACAGTAGCTGCTTGCAACTTTCTGCTTTACCAGAGAACAGATGTAATACGGGAGTTTGCCCAACATAGCTTTATAAATAAAAGTGTACCAGTGACTGAGCCTCCGTACAGAGAGTGATGGTAAACCTGCCTTGGTATACAGTGTACAGTGATGTGTAAGCGCTTTACAATTTGTGACAAATCTCAAAGCACTGTGATACGCAGCATCCAATTTGCTCAGGTAATTGGCAGGTGCATTCATATACAACAAATCACCATAGTCCAGCACAGGTAAAAAGGTCACAGTGACTAGCCTTTTCCTGGCCTCAAGCGAGAAACAGGACTTGTTTCTAAAAAAGAACCCTAGCCTAACCCTCAGTTTTTTAAGCAGGTTATTGACATGAAGTTTAAAAGAGAGACAATCATCAAGCCAGATACCAAGGTATTTGTAACAGGCAACAACTTCAAGTTTTGTTCCTTGCGTAGTTACAATATCTAAAACAGGCTCTGGTGTCTTTTTTGCTTTTGAAAAGAGCATTACCTTGGTTTTATCCACATTTAAAAGAAGCTTTAATTCAGAGAGCTGAGTCTGAATAGTGTTAAAAACAGCCTGTAATTTAACAACAGCCTCTTTAATGGAGGGACCTGCACAATACATCACAGTATCATCCACATAAAAATGTAAAGTAGCTTCATCCACATTATCACCTACGCTGTTAATATATATGGAGAATAAAAGTGGTCCTAAAACAAAACCTTGTGGTACACCATTAGAAATGTTTAACCACTCAGAAGACAGTCCATCAAAATGAACACATTGGGACCTTTCAGAGAGGTAGTTCACAAACCACCCCACTGCATGGCTGGATATGCCAATACTGAGTAGCCTCTGCTTTAAAATGCGATGATCAACGGTGTCAAACGCTTTGGAAAGGTCAATAAACAGAGCTGCACAACTCTGCTTATTATCCAAAATACTAGTAATGTCATTTACCACTTTCATTGTGGCAGTGATGGTGCTGTGTCTCTTTCTGAAACCTGACTGATGTCTAGACAGGATATCATTTATACATAAAAACTCCTTTACTTGTTCACTCACAAGTCGTTCGAGCACCTTAGCCAGAACTGACAATTTGGAGATTGGCCTAAAGTTATTTAAAATAGTTGCCTCCCCTCCTTTCAGTAAAGGCAAGACATAAGCAGACTTCCATACTTTTGGAATTGTATTTGTGCTGAGGGAGAGGTTAAAAAGAGAAGTAAGAGGTGGAGCAATAAAATCTGCAGCTATCTTTAAAAAGAAAGGTTCTAAGTTGTCCGGGCCAGCCGGTTTCCTAGGATCTAACTTGGATAATGCTTCATGAACAATACCAATAGTTAAAGGAGTAAAACTGAAAGGGTTTTCCAGACCACATTGTTCAGAGTTAAGGATTGGAGCGTTCACAGAAGCAGAAGTACAGTCAGTGACAGAATCAAACAGAGAGCCACAAGACACAAAATGCTTATTAAAGCAATTTAGCATAGTAGCCCTGTCTGATATAATGCCAGATGCTGTGGTGAGGCACGGAGGTAGCTCATTTGGGATATCACCAGTGGGAATCAATTTTATGGCTTTCCAAAATGTCCTAGGATTATTCAGGTTTTCTGTGGTAACTGACAAATAGTACTTTGATTTAGCACTTTTTATTTGAGATGTGAAGCTATTTCTTAGCTGTCTAAAGCGTAGCCATTCTACCTCTGAGCCTGATTTCCTAGCCTTAGCCCAAGCATTATTTCTCTCATGAAGTAGACTGGACAGCTCAGCAGAAAACCAGGGATTGTTTCGTCCCTTCACTCTAAATTTACGCAGAGGTGCATGTCTATCTATAATTTTCATAAAACCAAGATAAAAATAAGACCATGCAGTTCTCATTCATAACACTCCGTTCGATGTCTCACTATGGGATGCGCCTCATCGCGGAGCAAACAATCTCATTACGCCAATCCTGATTGGCTGGTGATCTTGACGTCAGCGTCAGGGAATTCACCCCCTATAAGTAGCTTGCGCCACGACGCATGCGTCATTCAAACACCTCTTCTCGCTTCAGAGCACATCTCTATAGTAGCCGGACAAGCTTAACGGTCCACAGACTGAACACAAATATAACCATTTCGGTCGACGGGCGCTCGCCGGCTACTCCTTCTGCTTCGCAAGAAGACGGTAATACTAACGCCAGTTAGTATTAAAATCGACCTCGCCGTTTCTTTCACCGGAAAGTAAGGTAAGGTTTTGATTTTTCTCAAGCTAGCTACGCACCTGTTGCTAGCAAGCTTCCCCTTACTACCGACACCACGGTAGCGAGGACGCTTTTCTTTTTCTCTCTCACGGAGGAGAAAAGGATTAGAAGTATATTGACACACCAGTCAATATTCTTTGAGAACAAAGGACCCACACCATCCCTTTTTCTCCGGATTAAGGACGGGTTGGTAACACTTTTTCTCTCAACGACGTACCTGTTACGAGCGGGTCCTCTCCACGCCACGAGGCGAACAAGATGGACGCCTCTCCCCCTCACACCAGAGGAGTCAGGGACTCGGAGGCTCGGTCATGCGGCTGCGGGTTGAAGATAGCAGGCACAAACTCACACCAGGTCTGCTCGTCCTGCCTCGGGCTGGAACACGCCCAGGAGGCTATCGACAACCCCGGCTCGTGCGGGCATTGTGCCCGTTTCACCCGAAAGAGCCTCCACCGACGGCTTGCACACCAAGCTAGCTTGTTGGAACAGGACTCCCTCATGTCCACTGATTCGCCGTTTGGCAATCAAGACACGGGGGCGTCCGCCGCAGAGACTGAGCCCCTCACTGTGTCGGTCTGGGGCTCACTAACAGCGGCAGCTGCGGAACCGGGATCCCACGCCGTGTCAGGCCGGGACCCGGTGGCGGCAAGAGACGCGGGAACAGAGCCCCACGCCTCACCAGGCGGGAGCTCCCGGCGAGACCTCACCATGGTCTCGCCCGCGGAGGATGTCCTGGAATTAGACTACATGGAGGACGAAGAGGACACCTCTGAGTTCCTCCTGTCTGATTCGGATGAGCAAGAAGAAGATATCTTCATGTCATCGGCTCAAACGGCAAAGCCGGGAGCGATGGCTGCTCTCCCGGGCGATAGCACACCAGCTTCGCCCTGTCTGAGCATGGACCTGCAGGCCGCGTGTCAGCGCGCTGCGTCCAGGCTAGACATCCCGTGGCCCGAAATGGCCAAGGAGACCGCCAGGTCCCGTTACGAGGGGAA